TCCGGGAACCACGGCCGACCGGCGACACCTCGGGACGGGCGACACCTCCGGGAACCACGGCCGACGGCGACACCTCCGGGACGGGCGGCACTCGGACGACCGAATGATCTCTCGAAGTCAGACGACCGCCGGCGGTACCTCCGGAACACTTAACGACGATTTACGGCGCCGCAACGAGGAGAGCTACGTAAAAACGTTTCGGACGAAAGTTACTTACTATTCGGCGCTCGCTCGACATGAGGGCGCTGTCCGATTACTAACTCGAAACGTGTCTCTCAAACCCACGTGTCGGAGACATATATTTCGAATTATTACGGATGATACGCAAAACGCAAGCTGCGGTGACCGCGATTACGGTACGGAACACTCGCCCGATGCGAAATCACGCGCGCGGCAACCGAGACGGCTCGTTACGGGCGCGGCGTGATTATACGTGCGGCACCACATAAACGGCCGGCGTCAACTTGGGGACGGACGGCACCTCCGGGACGGGCGACACCTCCGGACGACCGAATGATTTCACCAAGTCCGTCGCCCGCCGGTCGGTACCTCCGGGGCACTTGACGGCGAGTAGCGCCGCTACGAGGAGATAATGCTACGATACGGAAATACGTTCGGACAAAGGTTTCGTACTTTTCGACGCTCCGCACGACCCGCGCGACACGATTATTACGATATCTGCTAATTCCCGGCTACCACTCGTCGGATGCACAATCTTCGAGATTCTACGACCGATACGTGGACGAATGCAGGCAGGATGCCGATAAGCGAAACCGGAGTGTTTGCACGAAATAAACTTTCCGATGCGTCCTCATTTAATTAATCTCATTTAGCTCGCTCGTTAGCGGTACAAGCGAGAACTCGGGAACAGGCGCAAGTTCGCTCGCGGCGCGTTGCTCTCGCCGGCGAGCGACGAGAAATTTTTCCAGGCCCGATAGCGGCGTTCCCTGCTTGGACATAGACGCGGGTCGTTTGCCTTGATTAGCGGGCGACACCTCCGGCGGCACGCGCCGCCCGTAACCCAAGTACGATCGCGGCGTGTTGTTTTCGTTGGCGGGCGACACCTCCGGCGGCACGCGCCGCCCGTAACCAAGCCGTCGCTTCGGCGGCCCCGCACAGGTGCATCTGGGGCGGGCGAACCTCAGGCGGGCACGCGACGACCGGACCCAAGTCGATCGCGGCGTGGTGCTTTCGTTGGCGGGGCGACACCTTTCCGGCCGAACAAGAGCTTTTTCCAAGTCGCTCGCGGCGTGTTGCTTTCGACGCGGCGAGCGACCAAATTCTTCCAAGTTCGCTCGCGGCGTGTTGCTTTCG